TTGAATGGCAGCTCTGCAGGTTACTGTCAGTGTCAGTGCATTGGACTACTCACCAATATCCTCCCAACTTCAGACTCCTCTGCTTTAAGATATTGGTGATTCCTATTTCAACAGGAATGTTTTAAGGATTAGATGAGATCTTCCCAGTGCTTAATAAATGGCAGCTCTTGTTACTGCAAGTTTGAAGGTCTATAACCTCAAACTGTCTACCACCCTAAGCACAACATGCATCAGAAACATGGACATATTGTCTGGACTTGCTGACTTTTTGAGCATTCTGAGTTTTCCCATTATGCATGTTGGCTGTTGAGAGCCTGTAAGAGATGGTTTAAGGAAGCCCATACTTCACACACTCTGGTGATCGAAAGAAGCTGTCCAGTGCATGATGTTCCTCTTTATGAGGTACACCCTCTGGAAATTTTATTTTTGGACCTGACAGCTAGGAAACTTTTATTTCCACTACAAAATAATTGTGTTTTCATGCTTAATGAGAATCCACAAAGGACAGAGGAACTAAATCATAAATGGTAAAATAATTTGGGAAATTGTCACTACAGGGCAAATTGTAGGTTAGCCCTGAGTATCTATTAATCTGTTACTAGATGTAGTTCCATTAAAGCCCTCAGAGGAGGTAAGCTGTAGGCTTTTTTCTTCCTTCCTTCCTTCCTTCCTTCCTCCCTCCCTCCCTCCCTCCCTCCTTCCCTCCCTCCCTCCAGAAGGCCAAATTAGTGGCAACTAGCAGTACTTTTTTTTTTTTTGAGAGCAATGGGAAATGTTGCCTTTTCAAGTGGGCATTTAAACTTTAGAATAGCGTAGTATTAGACACATGGCTCCTACAAGTTTACATACGCTGAATACTAGAGTTGGGATGTAAGACAGTAATTTCCAGATAGTTGTCAGGTGCAGAAACAATAGCCTGTGGCCAGAAAACACTTGCTAGCATTCAGTAGGGGGACTCTAGGCCAGGGCTCTGGTGTGAGCTCAGTTGGTCCAGTGAGCAGTATGCTGCTTTGTGCTGCTTGAACAAATGACTAACAGCTAAGCTTCATTTTTTCTTAGATAGTTCCTCTGAGGTCTCTATTTAGGCTTTTTTCCCCTCCCCATCTGAACCTGCCATGTGCTTGAAAACAAAATAGAAAATTAAATTTCTTCTGTAACTGATATTTTTTCAGATGTTTTCTTCCTCATTGTTTCCTATACATTTCCAAAAACCTGTGGGCTTTTTTTTTTTCTGCACAGATATAACTTAGTCACATAATTTTTTTCTACTTAAGTTTTATTATAGAAACTGTTAGGCAGATACTCTGCTCCTTTATCAGCATATTGCTATAGCACATACCTCTGAAAGCCTCTCTCCTGCCGTCTTCCCATACTATCCCTGAGCTTCAGATGTTTCTGGATCAAGGGACTGGGTAGATTGTGGTATCATCTTTTCTTATTTGATTTTTCCCTTGCACAGTTTGTCATCAGGCTATTTCTGCCCAGGTTTGTACGGCTGCCTGCTCTCCCAAATTAGAATCCAGCTTTAAGCACAAGTTAATGTAGTAGGTCCTGAAGCCAAATCTGTTCAGTTAACAGCCCTGTTAGCTCACAGAATTGCCAGGTTTTTGAACAGGGCAGGCTCCTAGAGTTCACCTACAGTCCATTGCCCTGCCTTCTTTCATTGCTTCAGACACTGCCTGTGGCCCCCTCTACCCCATTTCCATGGTGCTGGGGCTTCATCCTTTCCTATTTCATAGTAATGAAGAGTCCCTTTTATAAACCTGCCAAATGTAACACAAGTTTTGGAATACTGATATCATGGAGATTAAAAAAAAAAAAAAAACCAGTGGGCAAGTGATACTAGCAAATTCAGGCAGAAGAGCTCTTGGACTCTCAGGTTTGGTATTTCAGGTCTGTGTGCTCTTAGTTAAATTCATCATTTAGGCACAACTATGATGATGTGACAGTATAAAAAGGTCTCCAGTTGGGGCTGGGGTTGTAGCTCAGCGGTAGAGCACTTGCCTAGCACGTGCAAGGCCCTGGGTTCTATCCTCAGCTCCACGTAACTAAATAAATAAAATAAAGGTATTGTGTCCAACTACAACTACAACTACAACTACAACCAAAAAATAAAAAAAAAAAAAAGGTCTTCAGTTGCGTGGCAGAATTGAAATAGGCTCTCGTTTTAAGGGTTTCTCTTATCTGTCATATGAGAAACCATATGGCATTGTAAATGGGGAACGTTTACTATAACAAATAGTTATAGGGATTAGAATGAAGAGGGATTGAAGGTCAGGAGGGGGAAAAAAAAGTCTTTTGAGAGTATAGAACAGCGGATTAGGGGGCTAAGATGGAGGACCCGGTAAAAGCCCACAGGACTGAGGCCCAGGCTCACTGGAGAGGCCAAAACCATGGTTCAGGGCATGGCAGAGAAGTGCTGTGATGCCGTGTGCATGGAAGTTTGTCATCTGCTGTGAAAGCAGTCATGGGAAAGGCCTCTCACCAGAGGTACTATGCTGGCAGCACCCAGCCCACAGCAGAACTCGCCTCACACTGTCTCTCTGGCGCCCTCTGCCAGAAAAGCTGGATACCTGACCAGCTGGCAAAGGAAAAGTAAAGGCCACAGATCCATTTTCACAGAGCAGGCAAAATTCCTGACCTCCAGACTCCTCAGCAGTTGGAATTGGACACTTTTGGGTATGGTTTTATGCTTTTCACAGGTTACACAGTACATATTTTTTTAAAAATTTTCTAGCAAACAATGAAATTCTGATTACTGTTAGTAACTACTCTATAGCTTGTGCACCAGGCCATGCCAGCAAGTTCTACTGTCTCTGAAACTGGTTGGAGATTTTTTTTTCCCTATTTCTTTAAGTATGTTCAGCAACAACAACAGAAATATTTGTGTGTGTGTGTTTGTGTAAAATTGACTATGAAAATGGAATGTCATTAAAATTATACTGTTATTTTAAAATTTTGAGGCTATTTTAAACTCAAATGAGATAAAAGGTATTCAAAAAATAAAAGGTTATCTGTAATTTCTCTAATTGTAATGGGCATGCTAATACAATAATACTTACAGAACTTTTATAGTGGTAGAAATACTTACTGAACATAATCACCTTTAAGATCAGTCATAATTAAAAGTGCTGCTTCTGTTCTGTACTCAGTTTTATTGAGCAAGCCCAGGTACTTTTCAGGATTTTTTAGTTACAAGCAATGAAAAATAACTGTAATTTAAGGGAGGAAAAGAACTTTGGACCCATATGAGGTAGTTGACAAAGTTGAAGGAAAAGCTGACAAGCCAGGACAAAGACCAGCCATCTGGAAAGGAGGACAAGCCTTGTATAGGGACAGTAAGTGAGGTGAATCTGCCTCAGCTGTGTGCTGAATGGTGCTCCTTCCATTCCAAGGAGCATCATGATCGGCCCATGCCACTTTTGTGCTCATGCCCTGCTGAGGAACACAGGGCGCTGTGTACCAAGCTGCAGAAACTACTTCTTCCTGGACTCAGGCCACATTTCATAGAGACCCAGCTCTTCTCCCCCACCTTTTTTTTTTGGCCTTTCTTCCTTGGTGGTGCCCCATTTTCAAGATCTTTGCAATTTAGAGGCGGCTTCCAAACATGGTAGGTTCCTGGAGCTATTGTCCCTAAAAAGTCCCTGGATTCAGGTGTGGGAGAAAGAGTCATTCTCTATGGGGAATCAGGGTTCCCAGTTGGAGAAAAGATGCCATGTGGCAAAATGAAACATACAGGTGACTAACCTTATTTTCCAGAAAAAGCCTACCAATATGAGAAATGACATTTGTTCTGTGATTAAAAAGCACGTGGAAGAAGAAAATAGGAGAATACTGGTGAAAAATGTCAGTGGCCAGGCAACAAGCCCCAGAGGTGTTGGTTTCTAAGGCAAGAAGCAGGCAGTGCTGTTTCTTGAGAAGTCAGGTAAATTCAGGATACAGGAGCTCCATAGTGAGAGTTGCTAGGGGGTCCTGTATTGTTTTGTTTCAGCCATAATGGTAAATCTTAACTAAATCCTGGGTCTGAAGTCTGTATTAGTGCTAACATGGAAATAATTCAGGGTTCCATTGAAAGCTTGAGGCCAGCTGGTTTTGTTATGCCTCTCAGATCTCTAGAATTCTTACTCACCCTCAAGTAAAAGTTGAGACCACAGCAGACCTTACGTCCTGTAGGCAACGGGTCCAGGGCTTCAGTATGTCCCAGGCCTTCACTGTGCTGCTTGGGCCTGGCCCAGGCACATAGCCAAGGGTTAGTCTGAGACTTGGGACAGTGTACGCAGATTTGGTATTTTAGGTCTCACATTCTTTGGGGTCAGCAGCGCACATGCAGAACCAAGTAGAGCCCACCCAGACAGTGACAGCCCATACCCAGAATTACGGAATTTTCCTTTTCTAGGTGATTCCTCCCTGGGACCCCTTATACCATCTAGCTCCCAGGACCTCCTTTTTCTAGTCTTCTGTGAGAAAGGTCTCCATTTTAGCTGCCTGTGCCACCCCTGCCACAGCATGGCTTTGTGACTGCAGCTTACACCCTGGTCAAAGCCTCAAGAGAAGAGGGGAAATGAGAAATTCATCCCCCTACTTGTTGGCTTCCTACATTTCAACTCCTCTCCCTAAGGCACTTGCTTGTGTTTACTTTCCTTTATTTGTGTTTTTGTATTGTATTATACTTTGTCCAGTTGTTTGTTGTGAATCAGCAGAAAAAAACTAGAGTGGGCTTCCCCCTTCTTTGCAGGCCCAGAAATCCTAAATCACTGTCTGTATTAGTTTTCTGTGCTGCATAGCAAATCACCATGAACTTGGTGACTTAAAGTAACACATTCTTCTTACTTCAGTTTCCATGGGTCAGGAGGCTGGATGCAGCTAGGGTCTCTTAAGGCCTCAGTCACAACGGAAGCTGAGGATGGGTTGCTTGTTGTCCATGCTTTCTCAAGCCACTGGCAGTATTAGTTCCTTGTAGCTGGATACATAATTGTTTCATTTCTTCACAGCCAGCAATCAAGAGGGAGAATCTAAAACCAGTCTGCTAGAAGAGTCTTCTATCACATAGCAAGGGAATGGAATGGCTTACTCCTCTGCCCTCTGCTGGTTAGAAGCAAGTCACGGTCCCTTCCACACCTAAGGGAAAAGAGTTACATGCCAAACCTCAGAAGATCTGAGAATTCTGTCGGCCACATCACCCAAGGATCCTCCTCTGGTCCCATACATCAGAACTACTTGGTGTGTGTTTCTCTTCTTCACCCCTAGTCCTGATATTATGCTAGATGACCAAGTGGTAGTGATGGTAGGGTTATTTTTGTTTGTTTTGTTTTGTTTTGTTTTGCAGTACTGGGGATGAACCTAGAGTACTCTATCACTGAGCTATGTCCCCAGCCCTTTTTATTTTAAGCCAAGTTGCCAAGGCTGGCTTTGAGCTTGCAATCCTCCTGCCTCAGCCTCCTGAGTTGCTGTGATTCCAGGTGTGTGCCACTGCACCCGCCCGGCTTAGCTACACCTTTTCTCCACCCCCATATGCTCATAATGGAACAGTACAGCAGAACCCCTTCTTGTCACTCTAAATCCCACTCTGTTTCTCATTACTGTTTCTTTTCATAGTATGTGGAATATTAAATATAACTCAATCTTTACTGTCTCTTTCCTACTAGATTATATGTCCCAGAGATCTAAGATTACCTTGTCCTCTTGTGCTACCTACAGGGTGTAGCAAATATTTCCCATACAAAGAAGGCATTCAGACATGTTGAATAAAATAAAGAACCTTACATATTGCTGTGACAACTGATCAGGGTACCACTTCCTTCCTCTTCTCTCTTTAATTTTGTCTGCTAACATTTTACCAGCCCTTCTTAACTTAAACACCACAAGGACTTGTTATTGAATTAGCCAGACTTTTAAAATAAAAGTCACACATGCGTGCACGCACATACACACACACACACACACACAGCTTCACACAGAATGAACTAGGGAATATTTTGATGAGATGTTTGGAGTGTAACCAGTGTAACTTCAGGTGTAAGACGTGGTGTATCTTATAGATGAAACTAAAGATAAGAAACATTTTCAGTTTTGGTTAACTAAACCTCAGGGCAAAAACAGGTCCCCTTGCTCTTTTACTGAATCTTATTCTTTAACAAATATCCACAGCAGTCAACAGAAAGACTGTAAATTGGAATATTCTCCATTCTTAGTAGTTTTATAGAGGATAGGGACTGGATCCCCAGTCTGCCTACATAATTTCATCTTTCAAATCATTGTTTCCTTGGGAAAATGTGAGTTTCATGAGGAGCACTGAGTGCATGCTGGTAGGGCCCTGTGGAGAAGCTTTTGTCCCCCACCCTTTCCAGAGCTGCTTTGTTCTCTACCTGTGCCTTCTAATCCTGAGATTGCAGAATTGAGAATGAAAGATATTGTGTGTGTGTGTGTGTGTGTGTGTGTGTGTGTGTGTGTGTAAACTTGGATGATTATCAAAATAAAATTTTTCTTTAGTAAAAAAACCAGCCAGAGGGGCTCACCACAGGATACCTTGTTGTATAAAGGGTAGGTACTTTGTATCGCCTTGGCCCTTCAGACTTGCTCCAGGCCCTGAGGTTTAGGTGTGCATCAGATTTCCTCCTTGCCTAGTTCCCACTACTACTGAAAATAAGCCATGCTGCCAGTCTAAGCTATGCTATTTTCTTTCCCCGAATCTGGGGAGGGGAGGGGAAGTTCTTTGTAGGGGCAATAAACTGGAAGTGGAGTGGATGCATATAAATAGAGGAATGATTGAGTATTTTATGATAATATTCATACCATGGCATATTATGGAGCCATTAGAAATAATAGATTGGATCTGTCAGTTGCAGGGTGGAAGGGAGATTCCTTCACCCAAATATATTGAATGAGAAAAGCAAGATGCCAAAAAGCTTATATAGCATTATCCCAGTTTTGCAAACAATAATGAAATAATACCCCTTGTAAAAATGTATATATATTCTCATATCATTACATGAGCTTGGACAGAAACAGGTGTATCTGAACTGATTGGTTAACACAGGTTATCTGTGATGTAACAGTGGACAGTTGATGTGGATGTGGAGAGACATGAGAATTGGGTAAAGGGATACCAAGAAAATCAAACAGAAAAGCAAAGATTTTCCTGAGGAAAAAAAAAAATGCCAGGCACAGAGGCACATACCTGTAATCCTAATGGCTCAGGAGACTGAGACAGGAGGATCGTGAGTTTTAAAGCTACCCTCAGCAAAAGTGAGATAGATGCTAAGCAACTCAATGAGACCCTGTCTCTAAATAAATATCGAATAGGAGATTGGATATTGTGCTCAGTGGTCAAGTGCCCCTGAGTTTGATCCCCAGTACCCCCCAAAAAAATAAAGAAAAAAATTACATTTATAAATTTACATTAAATCATGTATATGTAAATGTAATTCTAAGTATTACATGATCATATCAGAAAATAAAGTTGGTGTCTTGAAAAGAAAGTTTGCGTTGAGATTTTGTCCTGTGTGGACTTCAGCTGAGATCTTCCCAGACACTAGTAACAAATGCCCTGAATGGTAACAGGTTTTTCTTGGGGCCACAGAGACAGAACAGAATCCTGCCAACAAAGCACTCATAGCCCGAGGACAGAGGAAGCTCTTGCTTTCAGTTAGAGCTAGGATGTAATGTCTCCTCCCTCTCCAGGAAGATCCTGTGAGAGGAAGCCCAGTTGCTCATCTTGCCATGCGCTGCCCACAGACACACGTCTCTGCAGTGGCCTTGATCATTTGCTGCACTTGCACCATTTATGTGAGTGTCCTTGGGTGTATTTATACATTGCCTTTTTCATGGTTGTAACTCCAGAGCACTTGTAAAGCCATTGCCCAGAAAACACTTGTTAAATGAATCATTCCCTCCCTCCACTCATTCCTGTGAGATGGAACTAGTGGCCATAAGGGCTGGTCTTGAGGTTTAGGCTCTCTAGGAAAGTAATTGATGAAAACAATTTAGAAGGAAATGCGAATAGAATAAAAGTCACATCCAAATGTTGGAAAGTGGGATCAAAAATTCCAGCAGTGAAGTAATCTGGATGGTCACTAATACTGTAGATAAAGTGCCCTGGTTACCAGGGAAAATGTCATATTTTGGCACTTGAGACTGCTCTGGCAAAATAGCCAGCACCTTGCCTGTTCTCTAAAGCAAAGCCTACCATGAAACAAGTCCACTCATGCACACAAATCCCTGGATTGTTTTTTTGTTGCTTCACATTCAGGCCTGAATGGTCAAGCAGGGATTACTAGACAACTAAGGAAATGCTCTCCTGTCAGAGCCCAGAGGAAGAAATCTCCAAAGGAAGAACACAGACAGTTGTAGGAAATGCAGAAGCCCTTCAGAAAAACCCTGATTCATGTTCACAGCTGGAATAGAGGTGGTTTTCATCCAGAAAACAAGAGTGTGGAAGGTGCTGTGGAAAAGGAACATTCAAGAGAGAAAAAGTTACTAAAAAATTTAAATGATATGAAACAAACTCAGTAGATGGTTTGGAAGATGCAGTTGAGCCAAGAGCCCAGGAAATAGTTATAGTAGCAAAAAAGTATAACATAAAAGGTTAATTATTGTTGATCCAAAAGGTTCAGTACGTTATTAGGAAACCCAAAGAAGATGTTCTCAAGAAAATAGCTGAAGGAAGTGTGTCTTTGTTGAAAGCATCTGCCTAATGCTAAGCAGAAATAAGGGCAGAAAAAAATGTTCAGGTATATCATCCTGAAGTTCCAGAACCTGGCAAGTTCAAGGCAAAAGAATAGGTAAAATTGTGACAAGATCAAGAGATTCCAGAAAACCACACACATGGCCAGCAGCTGTGAGAAGTCACAGGAAATGTAGATCAAAACCAAATGAGGTATGTAGTATAGTCAGATTCGCAGAGAAAGTAGAAGGGAGGTTGCCCAAAGCTGAGAGATGGGGAAGTGGAGGTGTTTGGGTAGGGATAGTTTCAGCGTTGCAAGGTGGACTTCTGTCTGACTGTGTAAACAGAGCACTACTGAACTGTGAACTTAAAAATGCTTAAAAGGGAATATTGGGTGTAGTGTATATTTTAATATGATTTTTAAAATTTTACAGGGGTTCAACAACAGGCTATTCTCTCTCACAAGGGGTGCCCCCAACACAGACAGCAAAGTAGAAGGCTCTAGAATTGGGATTTTAGAGGGCCATGTTTTAAACTCAGCAGGGGAAAGAGTATAAAATCAAAAACATCTTATAAGGGGGGGAGACAATTAGGAACTCTAAACCAGCTCCACAAACTAAAAAGTGGTCACAGTGTACTACATAGCTCCGCAGCCAACATTTATATATTCTTATAAAGCAAATACCGTTTATTGATTTAATTGAATGTAGTGACGAGGATGATGGAGGAGCCAAATCCATGGCCATATTACAGGAACTAAGCTGTTACCCTCTCAAATTGGTACCTTAAGAAATCAGAAGCTGTGCATACCATGTAAAGATGGGAGAGAGCCGAGCCTCCCCACACATTTTGGAGTGGATTAGTAAGTGAAAACAAAATAATGGGGATGGTGTGCTCCCACTTGTGGTGGTTTTAAGATAGGTGTGTAGCCATAGAGTGAGATCATTTTCTTTTGAGGTGTGTTAACTTGTTTACTTGCTCTGGGACAAGCTGATGCCTAGGCATGTGGCAGAGATGTAGGGTATTGGTGCAGCAGGCCTGAGGTACAGTGTGTTATAGTCAGTAGGGACCATACTATTGGGAAGACCACCAGAGACAAATCTGGGGTGGGTTAGCAGCAAGAGGCTTGGAGCACTGTGTCTGTATTGAATAGGTCATGGGAAGGTGACTGTAGATTATGCCAGAGTTGTAGGGTTATTGAGGGGCTGCCTGTGCCAGGGCCCAGGTCTGGAACCATCACCAGTGACCTCATATCCACATGCTGGTCAGTGTCCCTCAAGTACCCTCTAGTAAGAAAACTCCACTTGTGCTCACTGAAAGGGCAATGCTTCAAGCAGCTCTGTTAGCTATCGCAGCCAGGTGTTGAAGGGTGAATTTGGAGCTGACGGCAATCTGTTGGCCACTGACACCATCTTACGCCAGCCAATTCCTTTCTGCTTTGCAGCCTAGCTCCTAGGTGTGTTCCTCTATGCTGCATACCCATGCATCTTTACAATAACTTACCATGCCATATGAGACCTGTTTAAGAAAACAGTTGGTTTATCAAACAAGCACGTAATTATAGTATGCTGAGAATCACTTCCTGAGATTTTGGTATGTTGAGCCAGGGTGGAACCTAGGAATACACTGATTATGATGATGGTAATCCCAGAGGCAACACTTTGAGAAACATTGGTGTGGGGCTACAGGGAAGAGACTCCATGTTGTACCCACATTCCCAATACAATGTTTGGTGGTAGTTTGGTGCCCAGTAAATGTGGAATGAATGAAAGAGACAACTAAGCCACTAAAAAGATAAGACAGCTTGTTGTAGTAGTAGAAAAGTACACCTAGCAATACAGAATAAATGTCCATTTCTGATGGTCTCTGTGAGTGGCCTCCTTTTACCCATATGTGCCTGGCTTAAGACTTTCTGCAGTTAATGCTTTTTCCACTTTTTAATTTTAAAATAGCCATTATACTAATACCACTTCTTTTTATTTTTGACAGGGAAAAAGAACAAGAAACACAAGAAGAGGAGCGTTTGATGGAAGAAAAGAAAAAGAAAAAGCAGGAAGAAAAGAAAAAGAAGGAAGGTGCTCAGAAAAAGGTTTGACCGGAGTTACTAACTTCATTGTCTCTGTGATCATTGTGTCTCGTTCGCATTGTCATAGCCATTCTAGTGCCAGCTTTCATCCTAGTACTGCTTTAAGTCAATCTGCTAAATCTGTAACCAGCAAGTAGTAGATGTCGTGCTAGTGAAATACACACAGAGTGACAGCTGCACAAGTCTCTTTAAAAAAAATCAGAGCTGTGTTTCAAGAAGTTTGATTTTAGTTGTTTGTGATAAAGAGAACTGTCCAGAACAGCCATCTCTAGGCAACGAGGAAAGGGCCATGAAACTTAATCTTATTAGAAAAGCTAGAAATACTTTTTGCAGTTTTGGAATATGTTCTTTTATAAATCCTAAATATTAGTAAATATTTAATAAATATTAAAAATCAAAAATTCTGCTGTAAACATTAAAGTTGTACTTGAATTTCATGGCATTTCAAAGTATACCATTTGTCTTCATTCTTACCCATGTATCTTATAGTTTAAAACCATATGCCTTTTAGACTGTTTTAAAATATAGAGTTCAAGGAGCTTCCATATAGTTTTTTGGGGGTTTGTTTCTGGGTTTTTTGCCTTTAGGTTAATATTGGGATGTAATCAATGTAGACAAATACATATTTTTCCCAGTAATGAATTATAATAAATTAACTGGGCAAAAACTTGCTTTTAAAATTTCCAATACTAAAATTCTGTTTATAAACTTTATATATGCACACATTCTACACACTATTGTTCCTAAAGAGTTTCTGGTTTTTTTTTTGTTTTTTTTTTTCCAGGCTGCTGATCAAAAAACCAAAGGTAAGTTTGTTTATATTGAGGGGGAGGGGCTTTTTATGGTAGTACTAAACTTTTTATGATGAGGGTGATTTTTTTAAAATTTTTAATTGATGTCTAAAAACAAAGGATATAAGCCTGTCTGTGATTCTACTTTTTATTATTCATTGTGAAATTCTTCATTTATCACTGGTTTTACATCTGCATCTCATTGGCATTTGATTAATCTAAAAATGCCTTAAGAATGTTACATTAGCTTTCTACACAATGCTTTTTAAATTTATTTTGGTTTATTTGCACCAAATAAGGATCAAATTGATTGAGTTGACTGAATTGGAATAAGAACAACCAAAGATATCTGAATTTTTTAAAAAGTTTCCAGTTCCTCATTGCCAGCTATTCTTTGTAAGTGTAGCCTTTTTGTATTTTGTCTTTCTTACTGATACAGAAGAGGTTTCTTTTGTGTCCTCTTAAGTCCTGAGCTTGCTTGCTTGCTGTTGTCTTAAGGGATGTTGGAAACACACACAGTTTTCAGTGAAGCTCCAGCATCCCTGGGGTTGTGTTGGAAATTTAGAATGAACACAAGCAAGCCACACTTTCAGCCTCTTCATTTCATGCTTGATGTGTTTAGGTGATTTTCTGTGGTTAAGGGCATACACTTGGGTCATATACACCAGCTCTATTTCATTTGGGGCAAGTGACTTTCCTTCTTTAAATCTTGGGTATCTCATATTTAAAATGCAAAAGGTAATGAATTGCCTCATAAAGCTGTTGTAATGACAAAATGGAATCATGCAAGAAAACAGCTCAATGCCTCATGTATAGTTGGTGCTCAGTAAAGGATGTCTCTAATTGTTGTCATTCTTAAGTTCTTATTTTCTGTTGGACCATCACATGTACACAGTTGTATGTACAGACACATGCACTGAGATATTCTTATGAGCATGCTCACTCAAGCCGCTTTCATTACCAATCCACTCTACTTCAGTTTGGCGTTTTATTGTTTTCAAAGAAAAGGTTATGTATGTTATCTCATTGAACTTTATAATTGAGCAGGACAGGAATTCATTTACAGATGATGCTCCTGGTGAGTTAAGTGGCTTGTTCTTGATTGACAGTTGTAAAGATAGGACTGAAGGAGCCCAGGGCTTCTGACCTTGGTGCACTCAGCCTCTGTGCTTTAAAGTAGAATCTATTAAAAGATGAATTTAACATAAAATGAATATTAAAAGGCAGCAAAGTAAAAAAGACATTTTTCTTTCTTCTACTCTTAGAAGCACTGTGAATTTCAGAAGGGCTCAAAAGAGTTGGTACTTAGTTGTATTTGAACTTATGATCTGAAATAAGAAACAATGGTTTCATTTTAATAATTGTCACTTAAAATACGGAATTATTTTTCTGAATCATTCATTTGCTTTTTTTAACATTGAGAAATTTTTACATTCTGCTTAAATCCTAGCTGTATTCTATTTTCACTGTCATTGGAATTGTTTCTCCTCAGATAGTAACAGATTGCTTATTTATGTATAATAATCATGAATTACCATTGGCCTGCCACTTTACACAGAGTTAATATTTTCTATTGCTGTGCTGATGAGTATTTTCATTGCTGACTCCACATTCTACTGGGGTTTTTATTTTCTCTAAAATACTGTTCCTTTGGTATAGATTATCAGTAACTACTAACTAGCTTTAGAATGGTTCATAGTAATTATTATTTACATCCTGCTAAATTAAAAAAAATGCTTTTTGGCTGTAAAGAATTTTAACAGTACTACAAGGTAATTCACTAAAGAGTATTAGCAGTATTAGGTTCAAATTTACTTTGATTCTCCATTATTACCAGGCCAAATCAAAATTGGCTGCTGCAAGTTGAAGGTTCTGACTTTCTGACTGGACTCTAATGTCAGATAACACAGATTTGGCTCAACTGAACCAGTGAGGTTGTTTTCTTGTTTGTTTTCTTGTTGTTGTAGATGAACACAATGCCTTTATTTTATTTGTGGTTTTTTTTTTAAGAGAGAGAGAGAGAGAGAATTTTTAAATATTTATTGTTTAGTTTTCGGCAGACACATCTTTATTTGTATGTGGTGCTGAGGATCGAACCCAGCGCCGTGCGCGTGCCAGGCAAGCGCACTACCGCTTGAGCCACATCCCCAGCCCTTATTTGTGTATTTTTATGTGGTGCTGAAGATCGAACCCAATGCCTCACATGTGCTAGGCAAGCACTCATGTACACTGAGCCACAACCTCACAATCCTGCGAGGTTGTTATAGTAGCATCTCTGCTCAAACATGAGGTTGATCTGCTTCAAGCCAGCATTCCTGTCTGTGTCCCCTGTTGTAGCCTATAGTCCATAGGGCAAGGGCTCCATTTGCCTGCTCCTTCTTTCCTCCCAGCACCCTCACTCATAAACTCCTTTCATGCTAGATGCTGTAGTGGGCCCTTACATTTAGTATTTTGCATTGTTAGTGTATTCTCTCCAAAGGACAAATGACTGGAAGTTTGCTGTGTGTCCCAGTGACTGCAGAGCAAGTAAATGGTGGCTGATGTCCCCAGAATCTTCTGCCATACAGCCTGCAGGAAAAACACACAACAGACACTCACCCCGCATTGCCTATGGCAAGGAGGATGCTCAGAGGCCAAGAGCTGACCAAGGACACAGTCAGCAATTGGCAGAGCTTGAGTTACCTATTAGGTACACTTTGACTCCAGGGCCAAGGTAGCCTGCCTGAAAGAATCACCAGGAGCAGGGAGACCTTGCTGTATCCCAGGCAGCACTCTGAAGTCCAGGGCCCAAGTCATTTGAATGTAGGAAGAGTTTAATATTGAATGAGTTCAGGAGTTGAATACTTGAGAGAGAAGCTGTACCTATAAAGGAGAATGTGTAATATGCCAAATCAGTTTTTTTGGATAAGGTTAAATTGTTTTGGTCTTGATAATTACATCAAACTTGATCAAATCAATTACTGATTTTTCTTGTTCTGCAGTATTATACATCGTTCAGGGCTAGGGCTATAGCTCAAATGTTAGAGTGCTTGCCTAGCCTGTGTGAATGTCTCAAAGAAAACCTTTCATCTAGTAGCATTAGGAAACCGGTGACTTTGTTACTTGGCATTCATTGCATTTGACTTAATTTTCTCCATAACTGAAACTTGATCTCTTTTTTTTTTAATATTTATTTTTTAGGTGTAGATGGACACAACACAATGCCTTTATTTTTTATGTGGTGCTGAGAATCGAACCCAGGCCCCGCCCATTTGATCTCTTTTAAGTTTTGATTTTTTTAAAAATATATTTTTAGTTGTAGATAGGCACAATGCCTTTTTATATTTTATTTATTTATTTTTTATGTGTGCTGAGGATTGAACCCAGTGCCTCACACATACTAGGCAAATGCTCTACCATTGAGCTACAACTCGAGCCCTTAAATTTTGATTTATTTTAAACATTTTCAGAGAACTTTTTAGAGTGTATTATGTACACACATAGATACACACACGTGTCTTCTCCTACCGAATTTTAACTATCTTGGTAGATCAATCTTCATTGGCATTTTAAATTTCTTTTCACATCTCACTATAACCATTTAACTTGAACTAGGAAGCTTCACTTTGAAGACTAATACTAAAAACATATTTTTTCTGAAAAACATAATCTAATATATAGCATATCCCACCCCACCCCATACATTTGTAAACAAGGTTTCCAGAAAGTCTGCTTTGCAGATTCACAACTAAACAGAAAATTCTCCTTGGCTGTCTTTTCACATCCTGACCTGTGCCTTCTTTGTGGAGGCCATTTTCTTTTAGATTCAGAGCAGCAGAGTCAATGTGTGAAATACCATGCCACCAGTGTTCACACCCTGCATGCTACCCTGCAGCCAGGGGACACACTCACGGTCAGCTCTGGGGACTTTCATTCAGACATTGTGTTCCTCTCCTCTGATTCTCCTCTGATCCTGCAGATCATCACTGAGGTGAATGTCCTACACTCCTGAGAAATCTGAGAATGTTTTATTTTTCTGGAATCCCTTCCCTCCTCCTTTTCCTGCCTCTAGTCTTGTGGTGCTGTTGTAATTAACCTTTCCTTATTTTTCCTCCTGTGATCAAGAATATAAGTAGTGAATTTTTGTTAAAAATAATTTGAGCACTATCTAAAAAGAAATTAAAGTTTACTTGAAATCCCTCTATCCTGAGATATTTACCAGTTAACATTTTG